TCACTACTAGGAACAAGAAGCTACTAGGGGCTCCTGGCCTTACTACTGGGAACAAGAAGCTATTAGGAACATGAAGCTTCTCTTCAGGGCGCTTTTTGTAGTTGGATGTTTTCAGACTGGATTAGCACATCGGACATATTCAGCCCATGCATAGAGTAGCGCTTTTCATCAGCCACTCGTTGGATTTGTCAAAACGAAGAAAGGCGTTGCTGCATCTGCACTTCCTTGCTGCGAAAACGGTGGCTTCACAAATTGCTGCGATAGAAACGTCTAAAGGACGAACTCTGTTTCTTTCGAAGCCGAAAGCGCATTTCGCTAGGACGAACTGACCTAAAAAAGGAACAAATCTGGCAAAATAGCAGAATGAAAAGAATCCAATAGTAGGACGACTAGAGATGGAAATCGTTGTCCTGTTGGCTCCACGTGTTGTGCATTTTTCCACGGTTTTCCCGAAGAAGCCGAACTCGGCCCACACGGTCCGTCCTTCCTCGCGAGGTCCGCACTGGGACCACGTCCCTGGCCGCCTACCTCCGAGCGCTCGGCTGTGTAGGCGCGGGAGGCGACGATCTCACCAGGTCTCTTTGTTTTGTTTTTTGTTCTAATGTTGTGTGTTTTGATTGTTTAAAAAATACATAAAAAGGTCCTTTCATTTAGTATGTGTGTGTTGATTTTTTGGGTGTTTGGGGCGTCGCGGAAGGATGTCCCGGCAATATGTCCCGAAAGGCGCCTGGCGGAGAAACGAACCCAAGACTCCGTGTTGAAGTCGCACTGCCAAAGCCTCCCGGACTCTCTTGATGGAAAACAGGATTCTGGCCTTAAGGAATTCCCACTTCAATCTTGCTGCCGTGTTTTCTGCCATGTTTTGTTGATGGCTTACTTGAATTTCAGAGGCGAAGTCATCCGGTGGTTGGGGCCGCACAGGCGCATGATCAAAGGTCTGATTATTCGACAGTGTGGAAACGGTCAATTTGGTGAGGAGCCGAACAGTGTTGATTTGGACAGGATGTTGGAGACCATGACAAGGGTATTGTGGACCAAAGAAAAGAGTTTGCCCAGCCGATTTCCCAAATGCCCTTGGGCAACTCACAAATATTGACAGCTCATTTTGTGAACAGCGAAAGGATGAGCTGCGTTCTTCTCCTGGGAGTGTCCTTCAACCAATGATCTTTGGATCAAAGCTCAGAACCCTGGGTGGAGAATGTCCTTAAGGAAACCGTTTTGGGCCCGGCTTCGGTTCGCCAGTTTACCAAAAAACAGACCCTGAAAGGACTCAGACTCTGAATATTTCTGTGCCTCTGAATTGGCCGATTCTGCAAACCCATCCATGTCGGTGTTCACTATTTGCTGCAAAGCCTCATGCTGGTGGCAGTGGTACTTCCTCATCCTTGATTTTGTTTGGCATCATCCTCTACTAGTAGCAAGAAGCTACCAGGGTGGAGGCCATCGCTATTAGGTTGGAGGCCACTAATACTAGTAACAAGAAGCTACGAACCGCTCCTTGATTTGGTTTGGTTTTCCAATTGGGGACGTTGCAAAATCGTCTCCGACTTCCCCTGACTGGGTGACCCCAAAAGGAACATCGCTCGGGTGGACCAATCAAAGCGATGAAACCGATCTCCACCGCTCCGATCGCGCGACAACTCACGCGCTCGAGGCGCGTTTTCACCGTGGATTCACCCCTTGGCCTCCGATAAGGAGACTAGTAGCAAGGATGCTACTAGTAGCAAGGCACCTTACTAGTAACAAGAAGCTATTAGGAACAAAGGGCATCGCTACTAGGAGCGTTCGGACGCTACTAGGGGCTCCTGGCCTTACTACTAGTAAGAAAAGCTACTAGGAACAAAGGGCATCTCTCCTAGTAACAAGGTGCCTTACTACTAGTAGCTAGAACGGAGTGACACAGAGTGACGGACACGTCATCGGGTGAGACTTCAGGTCGTCGTGTTTGACACCGAAACGATTCCGAGGGAAGCTCTGGTCGTTACGAACGAAAGCTTTATTGTTGCTAAGCTGCTTCTAGTAGTAAGGCCAGGAGCCACCGAGAGCTTTTTGTTCCTAGAAGTGCCAGGAGCTACTGGTAGCTTCTAGTTACTAGAAAGCTTTATTGTTGCTAAGGTGCTTCAAGGACATACTCAAAAGCTTATTGTTACTACAGGTGAAACGATTCCCAGGGGATGTTGCACAATGAAGCTGTCTTGTTGGATTGCGTGTGAGGTTTGCCATGATGACCAGCTTGAAGAGTTTTGAGAGCCATAGGGACTGTTGGTGATCATGAGGTCGGCCCTGTACATTTTGTCTCCACTGATGGGGAACTCCACGAGAGTTGAGCTGAATCAGCTCGTTGCCGAAGGTCTCCCATTAACAAGTGCCTTACTAGTAGTAACAGGTGCCTTACTACTAGTAACAAAAAGCTATTCGAATTAAATTAAAACTAAATTAAATTCATAGCTTCTTGTTACTACTAGTAAGGCACTTGTTACTACTAGTAAGGCCAGGAGCCCCTAGTAGCTTCTTGTTACTACAAGTCGTCCGGTCCCCACTGGAAGATTGCAAGACGATCCTGAAGATCCTTTGAATTTGAAGGTGAACGCTGAGTGGCCCAAAAACTGAAAGATCCAAGGTTGAACGTCTTGTCTCGTGACGGACAGAGTGTTTTGGACGAACACACTACGAATCTTGAGAGGATTCTCAGGGTAGTGCCTGGTTACCTTCCGGGACACCTTCCTGTGGACTTTTAGGGATCACTTCCCAAACCCACCGACCAATGGTCAGAATGATCATCCAAGCACTTCCTTCCTGACGATCATCTTGGTTTCCAAACCTCCAAATCTGGGTACCTTCCACATAAAGAGAATAATGATGAATTATTCTCGCGTTAATTGCCAGGTTGACGCAACACCTTATTCCTGGTTGAGAGAGTGCAGTTGTTCATTCATATGTGAAATTCTCCAGGTCTGGTGGTGAGAGAACCTGAGATTGGCGATGCGATGCGTTGCGAGAGGAGTCCTTCTATTTTGTGGGCCATTACTGGGGGCTTGGAGCCCCAGAAGATCAGATGATGTCGGGAAACCATCTCGGACTTCGGTGCCGGTTTGCCGAGGTCTTGATTGGATGTGGGTAATGTTCAACCCAAAGACACAGCAGGTGACCGGGTCTTTTTCATGTGTTTCTTCTTTGGTCCTTTGGGTTGGGAGTCAAAAGCAAGTGCGCTCAGTACAGAAGAACGACGACGACGTGATGGAAGCGCGTGCTCAGCCACGCTTTGGAATCAGCCTCGCTGCTGTCACCAGGGCGTTGGGTTTGGTTGTGACGTTTGAGACAGGTGATGATCTTGACCAAGAGGTTATTGTTAGCGACCAGGTCAGTCCAATTCCAGACAGATATCCAAGTCACTTGTGCCCACATCATCCACCATGTGTGGTGAAGGTATATGCCTCAAGTTCAGCATGCTTTTGCCACCAAGAACCCCGACACGGAGTTGAAACCCTTGCACGACAGCCTTCAAGAGTAGATGGTTATATGTCTCACAACTGAACATCCCAAAGCATCATAAACGAACATCCTCAGTGTAGACAATTCCTTTGTCCCACCGAACATGTTTGAGAACTCAGAGAGAGAGCTGGTACTCATGCTCCGCAGCTCCGCAGTAAGACTCTTCAAACAATTCCCCCATCCCCGATGTGGTTTCTTGGACACAGCTCTCAGCCCCCCCCCTCGTTTTGCGTCCACGGTCTCCTTGCATCCGCGTCCAGGATGGTCCACCCGGGTGCTTATCGGATGTGCTTCCCGTTGAAGATCTGGATCTGGTGGTCACTTGGTGCGTATCGAGCGACGAGCGGCGTGGGTCACGTCGATCGAGTAATCGGAGGTTCGCTGCAAGACGGCTGGGCGAAGGTGCCTTTCATCCATGAAGGCGAACGATGTGAGTTGGTCAAAGCTGAACACCACAAAACCCTTTATTCATGAGGTCTAGATCATTGGGTAAAACCAGAAAAGACATGTCCAAAAGGGTCTCAAGTAGAAAGTCAAGGCAAGAAAGAATGGATAAGAGCTGATGCCTAATGCATTTGAAAAAAGAACTGTTTTTTTCTCCTTTCTCAGCTTGGAGGCCATCGCTCGGTGTCCATCAGTCTTTGTCGTGTCGAGGCGTGTGCTTTGGTGCCAGGACTGAGACCGTCGACCTCGGTGGAGACGTCGCCGTCGTGTTCATTGGACCGGACCAGGTCGATTCAAACGACTCTTCTATGTTCCTTGCTAGTAATTACAAGTGCATCGCTAGTAGTAACAAGTGCCTTACTAGTCGTAACAAAAAGCTATTAATTTTAGTTAAATTCTTATTTGTTACTAGTAGTAAGGCACTTGTTACTACTAGCGAGGCACTTGTAATTACTAGCAAAGGAATCTTCTATGTTCCTTGCTCCTAGGAGCGATGCCCTTTGTTACTAGTAGCGTCCTTGTTTCTAGAAGTAAGGCCAGGAGCCCCTAGTAGCTTCTTGTTCCTAGTAGTAAGGCCAGGAGCGCCTAGTAGCGTCCTTGTTTCTAG